GTATAGTCCGCGGCGCGAAGCGCCGCGCACACCTTCAATTTACATGTGGAACGACCTGCTCCCAGCGGCCGTGGGAAGCAACGTCGACTACATTTTTTCACTTTACACTTACTTCTAACAATTTCTTTCTATGCATATCCTATTTACCCACCCCACAAAACTCTATAACCACCGTTTTTGCAGGACAAAATGCTGGAACTAGGGGTATATGAGTGGGGCTACATAAGCTACTTTTGCCAAAATCGAATTTCAATGCATATCGTATACGTGATACGTTGGGCCATTATCTTCCTTTAGGTAGCAGACCCAGCTGCTTGTAGACTGTTCTTGAAAGAAACTGAACTTTAAAATAATAACTTTTTTAATTTAAGAATTTGCTTGGGTCCGCCATATGACAAACCGTTTTGATAGGATTCCGTCTGTTTTGTCGCTGAACGTATTCTAAGCGTAAATAACCCTATTTTAACTTAATAAATGGAATGACCTGGACATATCATCGGATGCAAAAAAATCCGCCAACGATAGCGCATATCGGAGACTAGTTTTTTGAAAGGCACGCAACGCACGCAGTGGAGTGCACATTTCTCAAAAGTGATGCACAGATGACCGGCAATTTTCGAGCTGGTAATAAAAATGGAAGGCATCGATAAACTTAAATTTAGCCTTCTAGCACTGAATTTGCGAAGCACAATTTTTGTGTTTGGAATAAGCAGCAAATAATCTCATTGAGAATGCCCGAAAACCTTCTAGCATAGAACCTAAAAAGTTCTATAGCCTCACACACAGGCCTCCAGTTGAACTAAATCCCTATTTAAAAGATGAGGATAGTGTACTTTCATATATCACGTTTGATAATTTTCAATGGGTCGTCCAATCTGGGGCTGAGACAAATGATGAATTTTCAACAGGAACCTCCACAGAATAACAAGTAAAATGTGAAGAAATCCTTTCACTTTGACTGCTGTACTAGAAGTCAGAAGTCCGAATGTAGAAGTATGCGTGGTCTTCATGTTTGAATTCTTTTGTGGTCATAGTTGATGTCGATAGTGACACATTCCGTTCATTTCTGAAACCTTCACCCATGCACATTGTGAAACTATCCCCCCCAGATTATGCAGTCCTTTCGCTGAGGTCGTTTCGCGACCTCGTCTGAAATGGCTGTGTAGGCTTTAGTCGGCATACGTGTCGCAACGCTCATTACTCGAGCGGGGTGCCGGAGAATAAACACGGAAGCACGCATGTGGACCCATAGCTGAGAGTCGTACACTGTGGAGACCAGTAGTCAACGGTTATCCTCTAAGGGAGCACCGCGAACCCTCCCCCTCCAAGTAATGACGGCATGCCACCTCAAATATCCCACCGATCCTTTAATATTAATAATGGCGCTTTCGCAAAGTTCGTTCCAGTCAACACCCATTTAGATGACCAGCTTGCAGAAGTTAACGTTTGTTTTTTTTAAAGAGGTGCAGAATGAGCAGACCGATTTGTTGGATTGACGGATACAGGTCACGCGCCTTCTTATTTTGCGGCCGTATTCCTTTTAACTGTTCAGCGATTTATCTTCTTACACCAACAGATGTCAAATCATCTGATGTTTCTGCATGAGGAGTTAGTAAAGCTGCCCTCATTTCCGCGCAAAGCTCTCGAAACGGAATTTGCGCTCTGCGACGGTGGCGAAATGGGCAAGCCTCTGCTTGCCATAGACACTATTCACAAGCTCACCTGGTGTCAACTGCTCAATTCCATGTTCCAGAAGATGCCTTCCACCTTCCCCTGGTCCTCCGAGTTACAACTCTTCCTCAACGTCTACAATGGCACTCTCGTGCTTCACGCCGAAGATGCCTCCATCCTACGTCACTGTATGGCTTTCTATCTTCAGGTGATATGCAGTTTTTACTAGTAATTTATTTGCAAAAAACGGAGGGTACACTGTGGAAAGCAGCTAAATAAGGCTCGCAAGGGCGATTACTGTCACTGCGAAATGCCAAACCAGCTAAATCAGTCACAATACAACTATTGTGGTGGAATCTTTCCAAACTTTAAGTTTTAATTCTATCTTAGTTAAACAAAGCGTTAAATTGCAATTTTAGCATTAGATGACTGCATTCACGAGGGTAGACCTAGTAAAAAGGGATGACCGCGTTGGCAAGAAATCCGTAGTTGACAATGGTGATCCAGAGGACACTAGATATAACGTCATTAGGGTCGATCAGCGCCCACATTTGCATTCTAATATTTTTCATCCAATATTTGTTTGAAAGTTAGGCATGTCTAATAGCTCTCCACCAACTGCCTTCTTAATTCATGGTGGGCAGCCAGTTTTATTTTTGGCCGGCTTCCCAATGAGACCTGTGTTGAATAAAAAAGAGAACGTTCGCGTTCCAAGTATTTGCATCGGCCCCGGAGGACCCAAAAAGAAGAAGCACCGAG